GTTTCTCTCACAAATTCTTCAGTTTCCCCACATATAAATAGTAAAAGTTTTTCATTGAATAGTCTTTCAGCAGCCAAAATTCTCGATTTCCTGGTTTTTTTTGAAATTGTATGGCCATGAGAATTTCTTCAAATTAATAATCTGAACCACTGAGCCTTTCGGAGCAAGTTAGGGAAATGTAAATAAAGTTCCCACTTTAGAAGCATTGCTTAGTGCTAATTTTCTGGTTTTGATAATTGTATTATGAGTGGAATGTAAGTTGTTGACAGTAGAGGAATCTGGGCAGACTGTACAGGGAGTGCTTCTATTATTTTTTGCCATTTTTTTCTGTAATTCTAAATTTATTTCAAAAAAAAAGTTGAAATAAACTGAGGCTGTTTGGGTACTAATCACGAATCTATTTTTCATTAAAAAAGGATTTTTGAAAATTTCCTCCAAAGACGACTAAAAATGAAGGAGTATTCCTTTCAAAGGGCAAATTCAAAGAAAACATTTTAAAACAAAGCATTATTGTTCCATTATTCTCTTTATAGTAGAGGCAAACCTCTCTACTGGAGTTCATTAGTGGTTCTGTGTCAGTGTAACCCTTGAGGTTATGTTGCTAAGGGTCTTAATTCTGGCATGCTAAGCAAACATGGATGTGCAAGTATTCAGTCAAAATAGTTTCTTTTTGTGTGTGATGCTGGAGATCAAACCCAGGGCCTTGACCACGGTGGGCAAAAAAAAACAAAACAAAACAAAACCAAAAAAACAGCGTGCTGGGCCTCAGCTCCCAAATACTTAAATTTTAAGCTAGTGAAAACTACTGTGATTGGAAGCTCTAAATATAGAATATATGGATTGTAGGGCCAATTATTACCTACAAGGATAAGAATTGTTTTATTTATGTCTACACAGCAAGTTTCACTTGTCATAGTATCATTGTGCTTGTAATCATATATGGAGTTTGAAGACATGGTTTAGAGGTCATTTGTGTATATTACTCTCCCTGTTCCTATCATTCTAGAATATATAGGAATTGACATAATTATCCTCTGAATATGACTGCTCTATGGCTTCACTAGGAAGTAGTTTTATAAAACTACCCAAAGTACTAATTATGACATGTAAGTATGATTACTGTTGATCTACTATAATGAAATATTGCTTGCATTTATGTACTTCTTGCATAGCAGGTAGATGACATCATATGCTGCTTCAAGAACAGAGTGGAAGGTTCAAGTTATGCCTGATATGTTTGATGCTGAGTAAGCTGGCTATGGAAACATCCACAAACATGATCTTTTGTTAAATCTAAGGGAATTCATTTAAAATGCCAATCTAAATCAATGACAGTATGTAATGCCAAGGAATCAGTATAAAATGGTTTAAACAAGTTTTGATATAAATGTACCAAGAAGACAAGGCAACTGAATAAAAAATCAGCGGCATAGCAACATGATATGAGACTCATCTATATAGCTGAGAATTAGTCTATAGGTTTTACAAGCTAGATTCCTATCTGAAAATTGCACAACCTTTCTCATTAAACAGGTAGCATTCATGCAGTTATAAGCACAAGCTCTTCAAGCATAATGCATGATCATCCATTCATCTCACCTCCCTATTTTTATGACCTCCCCTCATTATGAGGTGAAAATAGGACACAGTATCTATTGTACCTATTACATAGAAAAAGGACTATTATCTGGTTGAGTAGCTAGTGCTAATGGAACATACACATATGTGAACACACACAGGCGCACACACAGTCATATACACATGCATGACCCAAGAATCAAAACCCACAGCCCACAAATCATCAAATGATTGCTTCATTTCTTTAACCACTGTCAAAATAATTGTGCACAGATAAATTTGAATGGTGCTTCAATTATTACAAATTCAAGAGGAGCAGAGAATGTGTCAGCAGTCATTAAGGTATGTTCTTTCTGTGTTTTGCATGATAGGAGTACAATCAGCATACATCAATTACCCTCATCTTAGTATAGATTTCTTGCATACCTTGGGTAAGGAGCAACATAAAAAAGAAAAGCAAAGCTTTTGTACAGACATGGAACTTTGATGACTTTGCTATCTAAATGGCAAATTAAATATAGAAACCCCTTTAAGCAAGTTAAAAGGGTTTATGTATTTGAAATACTGCGGTTTTGGTCATCAAAATATTAACACAGTGCTTGACTTATTTTAAGAGCAATGGGTCCAGCAGTGTATACAGCATATGAAAATGAAGTGATGAACTTATATTCATTAGTTATTATTTAGTACATGAACTAAACACTTTCCAAGAGCTAATGTCTATTATGTATTTTGTAAACAACTACCTTCCATACTATTTCCCTCAATGTGTTCACTTTATAGTAAGTACCCTTTTACCTTTAATATGAGCATTGACCTAAAGTATATCAAAGATTAGGGAGATCACACATATCCCTCATTCTCTGACACCTAGAAAGACGAGTCTATAGTCTGTGATGAATTCCCTATCACAGACTAAACTACAGAACAGGGATGTATAAATTCTAGAAATAAAATTACCCTCATAGCAATGGATTTGGGGATATGAGCTTGCAGCATTAAGTAATACAGTCTATCTAAATGGAATTATCTTTAATAGCTCCTAAAACAAACAATTAATTGCAAGAAAATAACCTTCATTCACTTTGTAGTTATACTTTTTGCTTCTCATTTGTGTTGTCTCTTTGGGATATCCACAGACATGGTGAAAGTTAATCAAGGCATTGTATTTATTAAACAGAAAGTCACTCGAGGTTTGAGAGAAAAAGGAGCTGAAGGATCAGGTTAGTGGGGCTCGGACTTTATTCTAGATCTTCAGAAGCAAGATGACAAAGAGCCTAGTGCAGTGCCTGGACTTGCATGTGCTCTGGATGAAAGATGTCACTACTTAACTAGCTCAGTGCTCTTTTTTCGCCTCAAGGCATAACCCAGTCCTGGAGCAATAGATTGAAAGCAATACACAGAAAATGACTGTAGAATAAAGCATGAATGAGTGAAGACTGAAGAAACAAGTAAGTTCTTCTTTCGAGACAGGGTCTCACTACGTAGCCCTAGCTGTCCTGGAACTTGATATGCAGATCAGGTTGGTCTTGAACTCAACAGAGATCCACCTGCCTCTGCCTCCTGTAAAAGTTAGTGTGACTAGGCTTAGCAAAAAAACAAAAACAAAAACAAAAAAAAAACATTGCTAGTATATCTGCTTAAAATAAAAGCAGTTCAGAGTTTTTCAATGTTAGTAATATTCCTCCCTGTTTTTCCATAATAAAATTCTACTATTGAACTGAAATGGTTCACAATAAAACCTAGCAACTAAGAAGTAAATAAAACTACATAGGTTTGCTGAGCATCCATAATCTGAAAAGCCAAAAAGCTTCAAAATATAATGTTGCTGAACACCAATATGATATCACATTTGAAAAATTCCGTACATGACTTCATATTGCATATAAACTACAGGTGAACTAAAATACTGCATTAAAGTGACTGGTGGATGATATGTATATGTATGATATAAATGAATTTCCTGTTTAAAGTTGGATCACATCCCAAGGATATCTCATCATGTACATGAAAATATCCCTAAATCTGAAGAACTCTGAAGTCTGAAGCATTTCTGATCCCAAACATAAGAATCATTCACAGTAAAGCATTTGAAAATGTGCTCTGAATAAACTAGCAAACATAGTTATACACCTCTAATAGCCAATGCAGCTAGCAATAAAAATGTTAGTGAGGTGAAGTTGATCATAACAGTCACATAGTATCGAGAAATATTTAACAATTCTTTTTAAGACCATTTCATCTGGCTGTAATTTCAAAAATCATTTCAAATGCATGATGGCAAATCTATGAATTAAACCAAGAATCCATCCACACTTTTGCATCTCTGCTTTTAATTTTGATATTCTCATCCTTACTTTAAGGTAACTATGAAAACATGAAAATGAATACATTCTCATGTTATGCAAACATTTATGTCTTACTATATATAATACCCCACCCTAATAATTTTGCTTTACTCAAGCTTTACAACTTTGGCAGTTAAGACTTTCTTGATAGTTAAAAATCAGAAGCTGTTCAATCATGTGTTCAATAAGAAAATTTAGTGAAGTTAGTTTTATAACATTATGCTTAATCTTCCTAAACAATGAGATTTTAAGTGATATGCTTTGTCTGACTTTATTCTCTGACAGCTGACTAGCCTCGGCCATTTATATCTTACTAATATGAATTATAACCTATATGTATACTGTAATTCATCAGAGTTTGTTGCATGAGAATTTAAAATTTACCAATTTATTTTAAAAAAAAATACCAATTTTATGATCTGGAGAAATAGCTTAGTGATAAAGAGCAGTTGTTGCTCTTGCAGAGAACCAGGTTTGATTTCAAGAACCTCCATTTTGGCTCACAACCATCAGTAACTCCAGTTCTGGGAGATCTGATGCCCTTTTCTGACCTCCATGGGTACCAGTTATGCACATGATGCAATACACATAGGTAAGCATATTCACAGATAAAGTAAAATGAATAATTCTAATAAAAATTTAAAGTCTAAATTCTATATAGAAATTAAAATCTCATGAGTTGGTAAATTAGCTGGGTGTGGTGGTGTATGCCTGCAATCCCAGCACTGGGGAGGCAGAAACAGGAGGGTTGCTATAAATTCAAGGCTAGCCTGCTCTACCTAGTAAGTTACAGCAGACAGAGATGCATATGGAGAACTAGCTTAAACTTCAGCAAGGATATAATACCCCAGTTCTACAAAAATTCATGAATTTTTATTTTATAAGTATATCTATCTTGACAAGCAGACTTTGGCAGAATGAGCCTCCAACTGGCTTAGTTAAGCACACAGAAAGGCTACACCTTGTCTTAAAGCAATTTTATGCTTCTATTAATTTTACTTTTGTAGCATCTTCCTTCTAAACGTCTAGAAATTAACAAACTGAAGTAATTATGTGCATACACATGGCACTCACCTTTAGAGAATCAAAACAGGCCACCACACGGCCATTTTCCACATGGCAAACTCTTGGCGGATGGGCAAACCTGCACTCTGCATCAGCTCGAGAGCAAGTTCCTCTCTGAAATTCTCTACAAACTTCTAAAGTCAGCCACTTGGTATCTCGAATTAGAGCGACATTGACAGCTGTCATATTGAAAGCAAAATGGCAACCAAGTGCACCCTCTTTCGGACAATAGAATGACAGTAGATGGTTCAAGAAGTCTAAGTGAATCTGAACCAAATGTGAATTGAGAGCAGGTTGCTTTGGTGGAATGTGTTTGTTAGCACGTAGGTTCTCACTGAAGTCAAATCTGATCTGGTAAAACACAAAAAAACCACTTATTAAGTCAACCTTGTATCAGAAAAACCAAAAATCAAATTAGAGACCAAATCCTAAAAAAGGCAAATATAATGGTTAAGATATCGAATGCTATATGTTGTTCCTTTGCTGAATTTGCTTCAAATAACTGGCAGACTTTCAAAAGGATTCTATGCTGTCTAGTTGATGTTTTCAATTATTCTTACAAAAAGCATATGTTGCTGGCTGCCCTTCAACGTGTGGAATGGTCTCAGATCAGGGAAGAAAAGTCTGTCTCCCCAATTCTTTGCCCTGAAGAATAAGGTTGGGACAATGTTATAACCTACAAATACTTTTGTAAGATTAAGGGGAGGGGAAATTACTAAGAAAACTGAGAATGAGAGAAAGAAATAAACGGGAAGTTGCTGAGAGTGGACTACAAGCACAGCAAGTTTTGTAGGGGCAGGGTGTATGGAAAAGGGCTTGGAAAGAGAGCTCGAGAGTAGAATCCAAGCAGCAGGGTTTTCAGAAAAGGCACTTTTCAGAACCTGCAAGAAAAAATAAATGAAATTAGCTAAAACACTACAATGCTTCCTTTAAACTCTAGACTTGGAAGGAAGCATACTTGGATCCTCTGTAAACCAGGAAGCATCTACACACTGATACTGCAGTGGAGTACAGTCAGCTATGATCAACGAAGGGCACTTCCCAGCGTAAAGCTTTTCAGAGGAAAAGCAAGTAACTGCTTAGATCCTGTTGTAGTATAAAACTGGGCAGCATCCCCATCTCTTAAAATGATACTTTAGTTTTTGATATGTTCAGGGCAGGAATTCATTGTGGTGTCCACTATGCCGAAAATGCCATGGCGGCCTCTTACACGTTCAATTTACTTGTTATGTGTGTGGATTTTAGAGGCTCTAGGAATGTGTCTTTAAACTAAACTTATCGTTGTCCGGTCACAGCCTCTATTATTTGTCCTCAAAATTCAGAGCACAGGGAGTGCTGAGAAAATGGAAAATGCTCTAAAGGGTGACATGTATGAAACAATCATGACACAACTAGATGGAGACTCACTTCATATGATGTGAAATGTGGAATGGAAATAGAAAATGGGCTTTCTATTTTAGAAAATTCCTAGGGAATATAGGGCGTTTTCCTGGGTGTATTTTCTGGGCTACTCTTCAGTTTTCATGAAAGAAAGACTTCAACACACACAAGTAGGTGAGATAGGAAGCACTGTTGAGCAACATGTAAGAAATTATGCAGCTTGAAGATTTGCAATTAGCCCAGTGTCAGCCAGCACCAGTGGCAAGTAACTCAGCTGACAAAGAAACATGCAAGGTTAATTTGCTGGTGTTATACCACACGCACAACCTGAAGTAAGAGTAAAGCAAAGTCAGCTCTAAGAAGCCAAGAAAGCATGTTAACGTCACCCGAAGTGGATTTACAAGTCTTGAACACATTTCACTAATTTTTAAAACATGTTCAACCACTTTTCGCTTGCCTTTTCCGTAGTCCAGAAGAAATTCAATCTTACTGGACTTTTCAGTTATCACTGGGTAACTAAATGTGTAGGAAATGCAAGTAAGCTTATTCAGTCAATGGCAGAACATACTTCCCCCCCCCCCCGATTCATCCTCCAGAGACAGTTTCTAAAATGTGTTGTATGTGACTTCCTTTGCTTTCTTACAGGTTACTGAACTAGTTGGCATTTGGTTAAAGACTTCATGCCATTGATGTCTTGGGAAATATTATAGGTCTCCTTCCGGAGCAAACTGTTCTTAACTCCACTACTGCCACAGTGGATTTTCTAATCCCTTTCTGGAAAACTTAATGACTACTTTTGAATAAGGAGTTTCAGTTAGTTACTCAATAATGGCCTAGGGGCATAGTGTGAGCTTTCAACAGAAGCTCCAGGCCTCCTCTCACTTCTCTGAGGACCTCTTCACACTGCATTGCACACAACCATGTATTAAATTGTTAAAGTCGCTGGGCAAATGAAAAAAAAAAAGATGCTGCAGTGCTTATGACAAACTTCTGATAGTTTTCCAATGTTAGTATCATATAACCGAGCACTTCAATGCCTCGGTATATATCTGAATATATAATTGAAAAAGGCTTCAAATGCAGGCAATGTTTACAGAAACATCATTTACAAATCCAAAATGTAGAACTAACCTACCAACAGATGAAAGAAAGGATGAAAAAATGTAGTACATTTACATAATGATATATAGTGCTTTAAAGGAATGGAATGTTGACCCATACTGTAATATGGATGAATCTTGAAAAGAAGAAAATAAGCCTGTTATCATGGATTCATTATGTGAAATAGTTATAGTAAAATCCACAGAAATAGAAAACAGATTACTGATTAATGAGCATAGGGACCTCCTTGGGGGGGGGTGATAAAATGTTGTGAATTAGATAGTGGTTATGTTGACATGATTTTACACATACTATAACCTATTTATTGAATTGTGCACTTTATTTTTATTACTAATTTTTGAGACAGGGTTTCTCTATGTATTCCTGGTGGTCCTGGAATTTACTATGAAACCAGGCTGGTCTTGAAATCACAGACATCCACCTGCCAATGACTCCAGAATGCTGGGACAGAAGGGTGCTACCACACCTGACAAGTTGTCCCCTTTAGATGAATACATTGGACAGTATGGGTGTTATGGACTAATAAAACATAACTTTTTTAAGTCTAAAGAGACACAGAAGCAAAAACAATAAAAAATATAAATAAAAAAGGCAAATCTGTAGAATAATGGGATTGACTATTCCAAGCTTTCTTGTATTCACCTCGGACATTAGATATCAGCACTATTAGTTAACTAAGTAAATTTCCAAGAGTAAAGCCAGTTCACATATTTTAAGTGGCTCAGTATATTATGGAAAGTACACTGAAAGAGTGTGCTCTGGAGTGTTTAAGTTTACATTCACACTTAATCCTACAACTAAATTACATAGGCTGCCCGAACATATATGAAAGAAAAACAACCACAAAAAGTATACTTATAAAGGTTGAGTATTTGCTCTGAACATAAACAGCAAAGATCTGGAGAAAGACTTTCCTACAGAGGCCCATCATGCAGAGACACAGACATAAATTATAAATTTTAATTTTGAACTTACACAAATGAAAAATGCAAAAAGGAACTGGCCTCTGGCCATGCATTCTATGTAACATCAGGAGTGGGAGAGGAGGGATTTATTTATTTATTTTGCCTATGACCTTGAATGGGACCCTAGCCAATTCCTTGCTATGCTTCTAGCCAGTGCATGTTTTCCTTCAGGGTGAAAATATTTGGGGAGCTGGCTCAGAAGAAATGAGGTACAACAACGAAATGAGCTGGTGAGAAAGTGAAGTTCTCTCGTGCAGCTGTACTTGAAAGGCTATGCATAAATGCCTATATTCTTACGATCACCTTGTTTGGCAGGCAGTAAAACTTTAGCCTCACTGCTTTACATCTGAACAACAGGAAAACCCTGTGAGCCTTTGTGATTTATAGTTCTCCAATGCAGAACATGAAACTTGTGCATTTGTTCTTTTCTGTACTGCAGTTTTCACATGTTCACATTGCACTGATCCTTGGATCTCTCAAAAAGATTGCAGTTGTTGGGCTTCTTCTGAAGTGCTGAGAATGGAACCCTAAGACTTTCTCATGCTATCCCAAAATACACTAAACCGTGAGTGATAAGTGAAATATTCTGATGAAAGGAATGAAACTCATAAAGTTAAACCACTTGTTTGACATTACTAAGCTATGAGTGGTTGAGCCATGACTCCGGGCAATATCTTCCGACTCCAAGACTTGTGCACATATCTCAACAGAGAGCATATATCTCCCTTGGGAATCTCCAAAGAGGAAAGCTAGTCATTTTGTGGTATACTTGTTTCCTTCACAACATTCCATTCTTGCCTGGTGTGCATCATCACTTTCATAATATCCCCACGTTGTGCTGAACAAACATGAATTTAGTATCTGCTATGTGCCAGGCACCACTAAGGATACTGATAAGATCTCTCTGGTTTTGTGGAATTTCCTATGGTCGTTTAGATAAAGAATTAATGCAGAGAACTGGAAAGATTATATTAGAGTTGGTGAAGAGTTGGAAGTGAACACTAGGTATTGTGAATTCAACACAAGCTTCTAACTCACCATGAATGGTACACCAAGCACTATGACTTAATTTGACTCAAACACTTGCATAGAAGTGAGTCATGAAGAGAAAGCTGAAGAATTATTCACACTAAAATTTAATCCTGCCTAGAATCTTACAGGAGAGTATTCTACTGCTCTCATCTTGCAGATGGAGAAATGGAGGTGGAGAAAGTTAAGGAATTAACTTGCACAACTTCTCATAGCTAAGTAGGTGACAGAGCCAACCTTTTAAACCATATCAACATACTTTCTTATGGCACAGATCACCTGTTTCATTATTCTAGCTGACATCACAACTTAATTTTGCTCTGTTATTAGAGTATAGTAAAGAACATGGCTTCTCAGTTTCGTTGCCTTTTATCTTTTCATCATAATTTCAAATCCCGTTGTGCTTCTAAGGAATCCTAGTTCGAAGGGTATTAAGGTGGCATGATAATTTAATATTACTAGCCTTTCAGCTGTACATTGCTAGAAAGGGGTTTTATTACTGAGCACATTTTAAGTGTCACAGCTCTGTCCACATCTCTAGGTTTTGAATCAGCTGAAACCGTAAAGATGAGTATTTTCTCAAAATTCTAAATTTCAAAATAATGCTCATCTATAAGACCACTAGATAAAATACAAGAAAATTATACGCACTTAAAATGGCATACACAGTGAACTCACTAGTAAGTGCATCTTTTTCAAAAGTACACTGTGTTTTTAGGATTCTTTTTATTTTTCATATCACAAGCACAAAGAAAACAAAAAAGTTGGTAGAACTACTTTCTGATCTGACAGAGATAGAAACTTATTCCAGGAGTGCAAGATCACTACCATCAGCTACTTTTGTCCCTTTTCCTTACCTCCTCC